TTCAGAGGGCTCTATGCATGTCTTTGCCTAGGGCCCCAAATTTCCTAAATCCGCCCCTGCCTGGAACTAAACATTATTTTTGACATTTTTTATTGAAAAAGCTTCCCGAATGGGAATCGAAACATCTTCAAACTTGGAAATAAAGTCCAGTGGATTGTTTTCTTTTTTTTTTTTTTACTTTTTTTGGAACAAGTTAATTAATTGTCAAAGGGGTTCAGATTGGGGTCTGCTCTTCTCTTTGGTGTCTGTTTAGGATCTGATTTTGGGGTTAATCTCTTTTCTCTAGGACAGGGGTCTTCAACGTTTTCTAGGCCAAAGACCCCCAAACTGATGGCGAGATGGAGTGGGGACCCCAAAATTATATTTTATGAAATAGTGTTCTATCAAACTGGTCCTATAGTCACTCTCTTACATATGGAGTAATGTAATGAAAGTAATTTCTCCCTGGGATTATCAAAGTATTTCTGATTCCTGGTTGATGGGGCAGGTGTTGTGAATGAAACGGTGCCCAGCTTGAAAGAGCTCCTGTGTGTCGCTGAATGTGAGCATTGATGACTGTGAGCCTCTTCTGCCTCCATTTATCTGTTTACTAAAGTATGTTGAATTCATGCTAATGTGTATTTAAAGACATTTCAATTAGTGGAAAAAATTGCAAGTGGGAATGTAAAAAAAACAACTTTCATGACCCCCATGTAGTTCCTCCGTGGACCCCCTAGGGGTCGCGGACCCCCTGTTGAAGACCTCTGCTCTAGGACTCTATACAGAGCTCATGTATCTCATGCAACTAAACAGCCCGATTCTATGATACCTAAATTTATTTTTTTGAAACTCTTCTAAACAAAATGTTTATTAAGAGTTTGTCTTGTCAAACCACAAACCTTTTCCCCTGAAAACATCTTTTTTTCCGTGGTAAGATAAAAAAAACTGCGAGCTTGAAGTCCTAATTTTGAGGCGCTGTCTTCTTCCTTGGTTGGAATTGTCACAGTAATTCCAAAACAGTTACAAAAACAAACCACTGGACTTTGTTTCCAAGTTTGAAGAGGTTTCACTTCCTATCCAGGAAGCTTTTTCAGTTCAAATAGTCAGAAATAGTGCTTAGTTCATGGCGATATACAGTAGCAAGCCCTTGTTTAGAAAACAGGGGTCGTTAAAGGGCTCAACACCCCCTTCAGAGACATAGACAGGTATGGGGCATTGCATGCTAACAAAAGAAGCCAAACGACCCCAATTCCAAAGGGATGGACCCGTTCGTCCGTTTCATTTTGCAGGTTTTCCAAACAAAATCAAGGCTTTGTTGGGCTACTGTATAAAACCTGGAACTCAACACTATTTCTGACATTTTGAATTGAAAAAGTTTCCTGGATGGAAAGAGAAACGTCTTCCAACCTGGAAACGAAGTCCAGTGGAATGTTGAAATGTTTTACTTTTTGGAATGACTATGACCCAGATGACTGAGAAACTGCACCAGCACATTGTCTAAGTCCATCAGGACATAAAGCTTTCTCTTTGTGAAAGGATTGAGCTTTCCGTTCCTGTGTTGTTCCTGAACATTCTGACCAGTTTCTTTCATCTGAGGGAGACTGAAGGCCTGGTTATCCTCCTGCAGCAGTGTGTCGCAGTGAGCTTGTTGCAGATATTTCTGATTCATGCCCAATATTGAAGCGTGGTCTGCGCTATGTTATTCCACGCCACAACGCCAGAGGGACAATGAGTAACTAGCTGCGAGTTTAGATACGGCCGAGGCGGTGAGGAACACTGCAAAAAATCTAAATCTAGATAAGTCATTTTTTCTTAAAATAAGTGCATTTGTTCTTAAATTGAGTAGGTAAAAAGATACATTTTGCCAATGGAACAAGACAATTTACACTTAAAATAAGAAAAAACAGTTGAATTCTCTTATTTCAAGTGCATATTATCTAATTATATTATTTTAAGAGTAAAAATACTCATTCCATTGGCAAACTACCTAATTTACCTACTCAAATTAAGGGTGAATACACTTAATTTAAGAAATTTGTACTTATTTCTAGCTCGTTTTTGCAGTGAAGTGGGGGCAAGCTTGTGCAACAACAGAGGGACATGACGGCCAAAAAGAGCAGGAATCTACACTGCAACCTTAAATTAAGTGTATTTACTCTTGCTTTGAGTAGGTTGATAAGATGTTTTGCCAATGGAATGAGAATTTTCACTCTTAAAATAAGGTAATTAGATAATATACACTTGAAATAAGACAACGAAATAGTTTTTTTCTTATTTTAAATGCAAATTGTCTCGTTCCATAAGCAAAGTGTCTCACTTACCTGCTCAATTCAAGAAAAAACGCACTTATTTAAAGAAAAAATGACTTATCTAGACATCAATTTTTTCCCAGTGTAGGTGGAAAAGCGTTCTCGTACACCTCGCTCTTTTGGCTGCTCCATCTTCATGTTTTCCAGTACAGTAAATACGCATAGTGTAGAGTGGATGTAGATTTGACCAATCAGAGGCCTCCTGTCTGCTGTCACCTACAATTTTAAAAAGGTGCAGCAGAGTGTCTGCAGAAGGCGCGGGGGCTCATTTGCATTCGCTGCGACACACGCACACAACCTGGTCTCTGACTATAAATCAGCCTTGAGTGGCTCAGATGGTTGAAACAGGGACCCAGCTGAGCCACTTTAGATGGACAGTCATAACATTAGTGTAGATTCCTCCTAACTTCCCTGTCATAACATCCTGTTTCTGAAGACTTCCCTGATACCACTGGATTGGAGAATCTCAGAAAATGCTGAATAGGTGAGGTCTTCTGTTTCCCTGTAAATGGTTGGGTTTGGAATGACAGCGGAAAGGAATCAACTCTATCGCTGCATTGTAGGTTTTTAAAGCTGAAGTCTGAGTCCACCCCCCAGTTTAAAGGAATAGTACACCCAAAACATGATTAGCCTTCATTTTCTACTCACCCCCATGCTGAACAACACTCTGGAGTACTTTTTTGATATCTCAAATGCATCTGGAGATCTGGGAGGCTTCTTGCTGTCTGCTGACATTCAAATAATGGAGGTCTATGGCGCCCGAGGCAGAAAGGTCCATAAAAGTCCACAAAAAACGTGTCAATATTCCTCCATACTGCTCGTCCAATGTATTCCAAGTGTCCTGAGTGGGTAGCGTCCAGAATTTACTCGAAACGAAGTCATTTAGAATGTTTTTAGAGCATAAACAGTAGTGTATAGGATTTCCTGAAAGCGCGTTCACGAGTCTACGGAAACTGCGGCAGACCAAACCAGATGAAAGTGCGCATTCAGCTCGGCAAACAACTCATGCTCTTCCTCAACACTGAAGTCCTCAGACATTTTTCTTTCGTTGTTTCTTTCTTTGCACAGGTAAACAGCACATTTCTTCTTCTACGCTTGCATTATCGGCAGAGCAGACGCTGAATGCGCACTTTCATCTGGTTGGTTTCATTTAAGGTTGGTTTTCTTTCTTAACATAGATGGCTTTGCTTTGGTCCACTCTATAAAGCTCTGAACTTAACGCTAATTCTTACATTTTGAATTGAAAAAGTTTCCTGGATGGGAAGCAAAATGTCTTCAAACTTGGAAACAAAGTCCAGTGGATTGTTTTTTTTTTTTACTTTTTTAGATTGACTATGACCTGGATGACTGAGAACTTCACCAGCTTAATGACCTGTTTTTAACTATGCATGGAAGGACACCGGTCTACATCTATGTGAATTAATAAGTTAAACCAAACATCAATGGGATGTATGCATGGGCGGTTCTAGACAGGGGCCAACTGGGGCCAGGGCCCCTGTAGATCAAGTCCTGGCCCCTGTACTGAAGACATAATACTCAAAGAAATTCTAATGATGATCTGCGCTGGAACAGACATGGTTACTGATAGATTCTTTGGATCTATTTTTTTTTCTTTACAAATTCTGCTTTATTAACTGTTTAAAAACATATCATAAGTGGTATTGAGATAGGATCCCAGTTTTTTCATCTGCTAAATGTTTTTTTCCAAAACAAATGTAAAAAAAAAAAAAACTCTACTTTTTACAGCTAATTTTAACAGTTTTTCTTAAATTCTAATTCAGATTTTTATAGAAAACTGTAATTTCAACTTAAATTAAGTTAAAAAAAAAGTAAAATTCCTAAATTCTAAATGTATATTGACCTATTAAGACATTTAGAATTTTAAGGAAACCTAATTGAATAGAAATTTGACTTCATGCATCTTAATTTATTTGAATCCCTTGGCCTGTTTTTTTTATTTAATGCTTTTCTGTGCCCTCATGAAAACACACTGACCCCCTCCTGGGCCCTCTGGTACATTTGGTCTAGAACAGCCACTGGATATATGTATGTATGTATGTATAGGTTAGATTTTTATATCCTACTTCTGTCGCACGTTGAAGAATATTTCCTCTTAAAATCAAAGCCTTAAATTAATAAAACATTGAAGCATGTGATAAATTTATGTAAACATTCAAATGCAATAAGATAAATGTGAACATAAACGTTTTATCAGTTTAACCCAGGAGGCACCAAATAATTATTAAAAAAGGACCAGAAAAGTTTAGCAAGAACTTAAGATTCAAGAAAAGATTAATACGGGTTTATTTAATTTAGTATTTTAATATATACATTTTTTGGCTATTGAGGTTTGAAATCATTTAGAGCCTTTGCAATCCTTTCGAAACACATAATGATAAACATTTATGTCTAAAACAACCGTTTGTAAAGTAAAATGACCATCTTGACTGAGATAAATGGTGTTTAACACCAGCCAGAGGCCCTTAAAGTCAGGTAATTAAATGCTTTATTGTGAATAATGTACCACAGTGTGCCTGCGCATAAAATGCAGGGTGTTACCACAGCACCCCCTGCAGGACAGATCGACAAACACCCATTAAAAGTGTTTGCAGGGCTTCATACTGTTGGTTTGATTGTAAGTCAGGCTGCAGAAACAGAAACAGTGAGATGTGGTAGGATTAAACCTTCCTGTCCTCTGCCTCTCTGCTGCAGGTACCTGAAGCCTGATGAGAACAAAAAGTCAAAGCACAAGACCGCTGTGAAAAAGAAGACTCTCAATCCCGAGTTCAACGAGGTAAAGCACCCCCATCTCCTAACCCTGCATTTCCAGTTGGGCTTTATTCCATCTCTGAGGTGAAGACTGTAGCAGAACATGAGTCCAAATCAGCTTTGTGACACAGAGACATATTTGATAGCTGTTCTGTTGACTATAGGGGCCTTTTTATGACGTTGCAGTAAATAATTCAGCATCTTTCTCTCAAAATATCATTCTAATATTTTTTTATTAACAAAAATATATTTTATTTGAAATATTTCAGGCAAGCCTTAAAGTTTCAGGTTGTGATTTGCAGCCAGATAAGGAGATGTTTTGCTTTTCTGATTCCTCTGGATGCCTCAGTGGAAGGTGGATCAGTTCACATGTATCCAACTGAATACAATTGGCCCAGCAGCTTGACATTTCCTCTGACATTTTTGGTGCCCATATTCCTCCATCACCTCTCGGCCTTTCAGACGGAGTCATAGCATCCTCTGGTACATCAGGGCATCGATTCAAGTTGACCACAAATCTTAATATGTCCCCCCCTCCTCAATGTAATCTGTTTTAAACCTTTTTATCAGACGTGGTTTGTATCATACTGACTCTGCACTTCTTCAATAATGCGAGTCTATATTTCCATTTTCCATTTATTATGTCACTGGAGGTCTTATACAGTCCTGAAAAATCTGAAAATGCTTATCATACTTTATAGGTTGCAGAGGTGGATTTACATAAACAAAACGAAAAACAAATAAAATAATTTTTCATGAATATTATGTTTTTGTTAATCAGTTTCTTTAACCCTTTAAAGCCTGATCCAAGAATAAAACAAAACAGAAAATTACTTTTTTTGGTTTGAAGTCCTTATTTGGCCTTTTAACTAAATATGTAAAAAGAAAAAACATTATATTAATAATTTATTACTATGCGATAAGTCAAGATTATTTTTGGTGTAGTCTTCTGCCCTCTGTTATCAGGTATATCTGATTGTGTACAATAGGATTTTGAGCAAAGTTTTTACCATTAAATTATGCAAAAGGTGTCAGACGCAAAACATGTCAGAAACCGTATGTATCAAATATGATACATTTGGCATTATAGGGTTAAAGATGAAATCCTTGATTGAAACCCTTTTGGTATTAAGGACAGAGGGAGCAAAAAGACCAACTAATTCACTAAAGTCAGATTTTCTGTGCGTTATATTTAGTATGTTGCATAAATGTGCCTAAAGAAAAACAACACTGCATGTTTGTGACATTGTGCAGCACTTTAATGCCTAATGCTACGTTTCTAGATGTTGGAGCTTGGCCTGTTTTCCAGTGTAGTCCTGTTTCTCTGACTGTGACTAACTGGATGTGCTCTCTTCATCCTCTGACATGGGAGCTGGCTCGGAGCTCGTCTGCCTGGCTGTGTGTTTCCTGGATGGGGCCGCCTTTTACAGCTGCCTTTTGTATCTATGCTTCTTTTTCTATGTCTGCTTCTGTCTCCTTGAACCTTTTGTCGCTATATTTAGCGACTTCTCAGACCCCTCTAGCACTTTGATTTCAAAATCTAGAGACTTTTTTCTGCTACTGGAGACTTTGGAGACAACATCTAAAAGCAGCGAACTCTGCTCTCCAGAGCAAGTAGATTGGTAACCCCGCCTCCTGCTCTCCTCTATCTTGTCTGCTGTCATGATTCATGCAGCTATTATTTATTACTTTCTCTTATTTTAGTTATTTACTTTTGCTGTAGCCTTTTTAGAAAAATAGGAAGGGGCAATCAGCCAAGTTCGAATAGGCTTAATGATTGGAAAGTCTTTGATTCTTTTTTGAGACAGCGTTAATGTCATGATTTCATTAAAGGTCTGACCCAAAATGCAGAAGACCAAACAGAGAGACCAGGGGAAAGTTTAACAGGTTTATTAAGAATATACAGATGAGTCCAGTGCTGCTCTGAACATTGTCAAACCGGAATTCTCCAGAAAAAGGTGTCCTTTATGGAATCCAGTCTGTGTGGAATGTTCCAGTGATTGTCTTGTTTGGTGTTGGGCGGACAGGGTTACTCAGACTGCGGTTGTTCCTTGGTGAATAGAGAAGCTGACTGCCACTCAGATTTCCTGCGGTACCTGAACGGGCTGTGGTGTAGATGAAACCTTTGCTCGGTGTGAAGCTCAAACGACCTCTTGGGGAAAGTGGATCCAAACTTCCTGTTTGGAAGCCCAGCTCAGTTAGAAGCTCAGTGGATCCTTCCAGAGAGAGAAGGTCCGAACAAATCCAGTTTGCAGGATGACTTCCTGCCGAGAGGCAAAGACAAAAAACAAAGTTAAGACTCAGGTTGACAAAAACTCAGTTTAACTCAGCAAAACTAAGCATGGCTAGAGTGCCCTGTATTGGCAAACACTCTTGCATTGAGGTAGTGGCAGTCAGCAGCTTAAAGGAATAGTACACCCAAAACATGATTAGCCTTAATTTTCTACTCACCCCCATGCTGAACAACACTCTGGAGTACTTTTTTGATATCTCAAATGCATCTGGAGATCTGGGAGGCTTCTTGCTGTCTGCTGACATTCAAATAATGGAGGTCTATGGCGCCCGAGGCAGAAAGGTCCATAAAAGTCCACAAAAAACGTGTCAATATTCCTCCATACTGCTCGTCCAATGTATTCCAAGTGACATGAGTGGGTAGCGTCCAGAATTTACTCGAAACAAAGTCATTTAGAATGTTTTTAGAGCATAAACAGTAGTGTATAGGATTTCCTAAAAAGCGCGTTCACGAGTCTACGGAAACCGCGGCAGACCAAACCAGATGAAAGTGCGCATTCAGCGTCTGCTCTGCCGATAATGCAAGCGTAGAAGAAGAAATGTGCCGTTTACCTGTGCAAAGAAAGAAACAACGAAAGAAAAATGTCTGAGGACTTCAGTGTTGAGGAAGAGCATGAGTTCTTTGCCGAGCTGAATGCGCTGGTTTGGTCTGCCAGCTTCCGTAGACTCGTGAACTCGCTTTTAGGAAATCCTATACACTACTGTTTATGCTCTAAAAACATTCTAAATGACTTCGTTTCGAGTAAATTCTGGACGCTACCCACTCAGGACACTTGGAATACATTGGATGAGCAGTATGGAGGAATATTGACACGTTTTTTGTGGACTTTTATGGACCTTTCTGCCTCGGGCGCCATAGACCTCCATTATTTGAATGTCAGCAGACAGCAAGAAGCCTCCCAGATCTCCAGATGCATTTGAGATATCAAAAAAGTACTCCAGAGTGTTGTTCAGCATGGGGGTGAGTAGAAAATGAAGGCTAATCATGTTTTGGGTGTACTATTCCTTTAAGAGCACTCCACAGGTAATAAGGCAATGAGCTGCAGGTGTGCAAGGAGACCCAATGAGGATGGGGGCACCACCGTGGAGGAGGAAAGGAAACACAAAAACAGACCACCCAAACTGGATTCCTGACAGTTAAAAGTCAGCTGAGCACATTGCCAATATGAAAAGAAAAGGGGATAAAAGAAAACATAATGAGGAAAACAGCAAGAAAATGGATAAGAAGAGACAAAAGGACAAAAGGTAGAACTAATAATCTGTGTCTGTTCTATAAAACTTTCTGTATCTGTGTAATGGGTCTGTTTTATGTGTTGTCTCCTCAGTTCAGAGGGTCCAACTCCTGTCTTTGCCTAGGCCCCCAAATTTCTTAAATACACCCCTGTTGCTGAACACTGAAAAAAGTAAAAGGCACCCTCAGAGATCGCTGAACAGAAAAGGACTCATTGTATCCATATACTCTGTAGGTCTGCATTAACAATTGTCTTTCTTCTTATTTGTCCACGAAGGAGTTCTGTTACGACATAAAATATGCAGACCTCACGAAAAAGACTTTGGAGATCACCGTGTGGGACTACGACATCGGAAAGTCAAATGATTTCATTGGTGAGTCTGATGCTTCTTATGGAAGGTATGCTGCTGTAGAGGAAGGGGTTAAATAAATACATGAAGCCGCATCCAGCAGCTCATCATACACTCTGTCCAGCTGAGGCTCCATCGGTTCGGTTTCTTTGCAAAAATTAAAACATGTATCACCTTTTAAACTGCCTTTCACACCTACAGTGTATCGGCACCTAATACTGGGTCTGGGAGTAAAATCAGTGGAAGCATTTAAATTTAGGCAACAAACCAGATCCCAGCAACACCCAGCAGCAACCTCTCATTTTGCCTTTTATCAAATAATGACAAATCTCTGCAGTTCAGTAATAAATCTTTAACTGGAGGGCTAACAATCGATAACATGTTATTAAATAAACTACTTCCATGGTGTACAAGCGCCTGATTAACCATTAGTCTGCATTTGATTAAAGATAATAAAGATAAATAGTCTTTACAGCTTGTGCCAATTAACAGACTTTAAGTTCTGTGTTGTTTGTTCAAACTCTATTTTCTTCTTGAGGGAGATTTCAGACATTAAATTCAGACTAATTTAGATAGGATTTAAAAATAGGGGTGGGAGATGTGAGCTTTATGGTGATATTTTGTTAAATTTACAATAAAAGTGATGATTAAAAAAGTATTTACTCGTTCTTTACCGTCTTTCGTAGGGAAATGTATGACTGTTCATTGCCGTTCAATAGGTTTTATCAGGACACTAGTGACACAGAACCGTGATCTTGATCACTAAAATGCAGTCAACAGCTGCATTCAATCATGTATTTTTATTTAATTATATTTACTGAGGTAAAAAATAATCAATATTAGCAACTATGGTTATGATTTTCAAACATAAATAGGAATTTGAAATTATGATTAATCACATTTCATACCGTGATAAGAAACTCTTCATGTTGTTGATAAATAATTAATGTTTCTATGTATTTTAGTCCAAAACGTTGTTAGATTCACCAAGAATCAACTAAGTGTGAAGTAATGAACTAAGTAAATCTGAACCTGTATCATCTTGTAAAGTGATTCTCATAATGTAAAATAATGTATGTTTTTAACTGTAATTATGAAGGAGTCAGCAGTCTTATTGAAAAATGTAATTCAATTCACTTTATTTATAAAGCTCCAATTCACATCATGTCATCTCAAGGAGCTTCACAGTTCACCAGATCATCCAGTCAAATTGATTCAGTTTTCTTTCCCACGACAACCAGTTGATTGCATCGACTCATTGACTCTTTAGCAATCCCTCATGCTAAGCATGCTTGTAGCGACAGTGGAGAGGAAAAACTCCCTTTTAACAAGAAGAAACCTCCAGCAGAACCAGGGAAAAATATAAAAAACCTTATTTTAGTTCAACCGCAAACTGGAATGTTGTGCATGCAGCAACCAGCTTTAAGAAGAGAGTACCAGTAAGTAGCCTCATGAGACCATCCTGATATCGCGAGCTTAGCAGATCAGTCTGGCTACTTTTCGTTAAAGAAAATTTGGTGCCGTTCACCAAACGAACGTCCAATAAGCGTTGGCTTAGAGGCGGGTTGAGGTGTGACGCAACGAGAAGCGCGACAGTTCAGTCTAAAGAACATGGCGGCTTCAGCCGATGAAACTAGCGTTAGCGTGGCTATCGAGCAAGTTTTATTGGAATTACAGAGTATTTCTTCACTGAAAGAAGAGCAAAACACTGCTCTGGAGGCTTTTCTCAGAGGAAAAGATGTTTTTGCTCTTCTCCCGACTGGTTTCGGCAAGAGTTTGATCTATCAATTGGCTCCTCTTCGTCGTCGCTCTGTTAGTACGTCATATGCTTCGTTGATCTGATTGGTTTATTTGGCCCGTCTATCACCAACATAGGCCAATCAGCTAACCAGTATTTTCGCCCCTTCCCAAAATTACTTCAACGGAAGGTTTCCAGATGGATATGAGGAGCAAATCCATCTGGTGGAGTCAGGTTACCAGTAAAGTGGGATCAAGATCAAATCCACCTGTTGTTAAACTGAACCTCAGTAAGAATCATGTAATTAGTCTGTGAGAACAAACAGCATCCCAACCTTGTTCTGTTTAGTTGACAATCCCAACATGGAGTGAGGATGAAAAACATATATATATAAAACATAAAACATTTTCCTTTATCTGTTCTTTATCTGATTGCCGCCCCCCTGATACATCCTATCTGTACATTGTCTTCTAGGTGGAGTATCTCTGGGCATCAATGCGAATGGTGAGCGGCTAAAGCACTGGTTCGACTGCCTCAAAAACAAGGACAAAAAAATAGAACGCTGGCACACACTGACCAATGAGTTACCAGGCTCACTGAACGAGTGAAGATCTGCATCCTGTCATCAAACCCAATGGCCTCCAGCCCCAACTGCCCGCACCCCATCAGCTCTTCTCTTGATTCTTCTCAAGTTGGACAACAAACTCCTCTCTATGGGAATATATTTCCTGTCAACAGGGCTAAATTATATATTACAGGTCTTGCACATCACAACTTGCACGACTGCTTATGTAACCTCCTTTCCAGTTATCAAGTCCACCCAGAGAATGATGGGCTGTTGACTTCTTACTGTTCAGCTGTCTTGCATGATCGGTGAAGATAAAGAAAAGTAAATAGTCTCTGTTTGATGAGGCCTTTTACAGCAGCTGAATAAACTTCACAGAACATAAAGCAGGAGAGAAACAAAACCACCTTCCTATGTGAAACACAGCAGAAATGTAGGCGAAAATGATACTGAAAGAGTAGCAAATGTTTCCTAATGTGGATCATCTCAAACTAACATTTGGTCATCAGACTTTTTTCTAATATTTTGTTTTGTAAAGACAAACCTGTGTGGGAATATGTTGCCATTTTATATTGGTTTAACATTTTACACAACAGACTGATTAGTAGCTTTGGTTGCTGAAGAAATGTCTCATTTAAACATTATTGTCCCAATCTGACAGAAAACTATCATCCTTGAGAGCCTGCTTAAATTTTGCAATTATTCTTTAATCTAATCCTTCTTTTTTATAAACAATAACAGTTCTCAACCTTTTATTTGACCAATAAAAAGCAGTTCATTGCATTTTGAATAGACACAGGGATGGAAACTCGTAGGCACAAACTTGTTTACAAAATAACTTAATCTTCCCATGATGAGTTCATGTACTGCCAATCAGATCCAGATTTTCAGCTTGGGAGAGATGGTTTTAATTAACCTGACTCCGCCAGATGGATTTGCTCCGCATATCCATGTGGAAACCTTCCGTAGAAGTAATTTTGGGAAGGGGCGAAAATACTGGTTAGCTGATTGGCCTATGTTAGTGATAGACGGGCCAAATAAACCAATCAGATCAACGAAGCATATGACGTACTAACAGAGCGACGACGAAGAGGAGCCAATTGATAGATCAAACTCTTGCCGAAACCAGTGGGGAGAAGAGCAAAAACATCTTTTCCTCTGAGAAAAGCCTCCAGAGCAGTGTTTTGCTCTTCTTTCAGTGAAGAAATACTCTGTAATTCCGATAAAACTTGCTCGATAGCCACGCTAACGCTAGTTTCATCGGCTGAAGCCGCCATGTTCTTTAGACTGAACTGTCGCGCTTCTCGTTGCGTCACACCTCAACCCGCCTCAAAGCCAACGCTGATTGGACGTTCGTTTGGTGAACGGCTCCAAATTTTCTTTAACGGAGAGTCTCCAGACTGATCTGCGAGTGAAATCTTAAAGCTTGCGAGATCAGGATGGTCTCAAGAGGCTAGGTTTTAATAGGCTTAAAGAAAACAAGAAAACTAAGCGTTTGGATTTTTAAAAGACGTTTTGAGATGAAATCCAGCATTTTTGTCCATTTGTGATCAATAAATTAGCTTATAAATGTATAAGCCTGTTAGAGCAACCGATTTATGCAGTTCGAGAGTCAAACCAGAGCAAGAAGGTCCATTGAACAACTATAAATAATTTTGTGTCTCGCTTGGACTCTAGTCTCAAAGGACACATGATATGATTAATAGACTATTTACTTTTCAGTTGAGCTTTGGGGTTAACTCATAAAAATTGTATTAATTCCCATTTCCAAAGTAAAATATCATGTAAAAGCAAATTTAAAAATAGAAAAACAGATCAACAAGCAGCTAAGAGTTGCTTAAAGGAGGGGATGCTTCATATGGAACGACAGACTAAGGGTGTTGTAGCAGCACTCCAGCTCCTTTAGTTTCTTCTGTACCGCATGGAAAAACAGTCTAGCAACTAGTATTGAAACGCGAGCAATTCCAGATAATGTTCTTCAACTTGTGATGTTTATTAAAAGAAAACAAAAATAAGAGAACATCCACTTTCGTATAAAATAAACTCGGTCAAAAACTGTGTTGCTTCCAGCGTATCTGTTTTTCCCTCAGTCCTTACGTACAGTACCTAAAAGCAAACAAAACAAAAAAACACGTATACAATTACAGCATTCAGGAAGCCCAAAAATATGCATTTCAAATTGCATTTCTATATTCTATGCTTTTAATATTACAGTTTTTAAACTTAAATTATAATCTTAACAACAAACAAAATTATCAATCTTGTATTTTAACCCTTTTTAAATCTATAAATGAATTTGTCTCAAATTGGCTCTTACAGGTGTTTCCGCTTGAAGTCAAGTAAGGCATTATGCTACGTTCAGACAGCATGCTGCAGAGGCAGCAGAAGCAGCTGGTTTAAATGCAGAATCAATGGTTGACGTGCATCAAGGTGCAGGAAAGGTCCTGTAGCGCGTCTAGAGCAGCAGGAGCAGCGCATCTTGACGCACCTGAGCAGCCAAAACAGCTCCTCATGAGCTTCTGAGCATCTGAGGTGCAGGACGCGCTTCAGAAGCAGCAGCTGCTGGAGTTGGCAGGGACACGGACACAGCGCTGCTGATGCAGAAAATTAACTTAAAATGCAGAAACCTGCCGGCAGAATTTGTTAAATTTTATCATCCTGGTGCGTGCAGTTTTAATTACGTACGCGAAAAACGCCTTCCAGCCGCTGCGAACAGTAGCGGAAAAACACAAAGAGGCGACCGGGCCAGAGGCAGCTGTTGAAGGGGATTTCCAGTGACAGCTCACCACCGGTGTATGGGGGCTTCATGCCGGTCCGACAGCCAAATAATATTTGAATGCAGGGTCTTAATCTTGATGAACCGACTGCACAGATTAAGTTTTCAGGACTTTCTCACTTAAAAACAGATTAAAACTATTTTTCACCCTCTGATCACAGAAAATATAGCAAACCGCTTCGGGACACACTTTACTGGACGCGATTTAGGAGCGTCAAAGATGCACTTGAGGCACGTCAGACCTTAATGTGTACAAAAATCAAAAATGAAGAAGCAGACGTTTTTTTTGCTGCTTCCAGCACTTGCGGTCTGAATGTAGCATAAGAAAAAGTTAAAGTTCAAAGATGAAACCTCTGGGGGGCGGAGAACCTGTTATAGGTGTTGTAATACTATTGCCAGGCCAGCAGGTGGTGAGCTAGCGCTGCCATATAGGTGTGAAAGGTACAAGAAAGATAGGAAAATGTGAAGAATGAATGCAGAAGGGGGGAATAAAGTCTTTAGATGTTGCTCTTTGTTTGGTACATGCATATTAAGGGTAGTGGAGGATGCAAACACACCAGTGTGTAGCCAGTAATGCTTAAAGGGGTATCATGGCGGAGAGGCTAGAGGGGCGGCTTCAGACTTAAACGTAATCGGTTTCACGGCTGCTTTGTTGCGATTGGACCCGGACCCGACAAAGCAGCTTGTCATATACGGTCAAACCCAGCTTCATCTGCACGGCGCTTAAAGCATCAAGTCATGAGAAATGTTGTAGCTTAGAGACGTAGCAGACTGGTACCTTTCCACAGAATTTAAAAACACTCCCAAATCCAGTCTGTTTGGCGTTCACCATAGTTGTGAATGACTGCTTCTGACCAAATACTTTCAATCATAAAATACAGTTTTGATGCATTTAGATGCCAGCTGTAATTCCTGTTCCAGTTTGACCAGCACTCTTAATTTTATACACATGTTTATATTCCTGTACTGTTTTTCCTGTTTCCATTCATTTTATCTCCAGAATAATTAATATTAGTCAGCTGTGCAATGTTATGGGTCTAACTTTTCATGATGATAATATGGCACCCCAGAAACTAAAACATTATTTCTAGGACCCATCCTCCACATCAGTTAATTGTCCAAATGTAGGGGCTATGTTAGAAACAGAGACCACAAAGGTGACCGTAGACAGTGCCGCAGAAAGGAGGCTTTTGATTGGTTGAAATCTACATCCGCTCTACACTACCCGTATTTCCTGTTCAGTTCCTTACCGGCTTGCTTTGTTTGTCTGACCACTATTGTGGAAAAAAACTTGTGAAGATGGACCAGCTAGCAGAGCGAGGTGCGCGAGAACGCTGGGACCCTTTTCCCACCTGGATCTCCGCTCTTTTTGGCCCTCATGTCCCTCCGTTGTCGCACAAACTTGCCCACACTTCCTCGCCGCCTCGGCCGTATCTAGACCCACAGCTAGTTCCTGATTGGCCCTCTGGCGTTGTGGCGTGGAATAACATAGCGCAGACCACGCTTCAATATTGGGCATGAATCAAAAATACCTGCAACAAACCGTCTTTAGTGAATCTGGGTAGGGTTCTCACGATACTAAACTTTTCAACTCGATACCAATACTAAGGAAAATATTCAATACTCGATACTATTTTCGATACCTCAAGGATAAAAACAAAGACTCCAAAATTCTACAGAAATATTTTCATTAATAAATAAAATACTATAAATAAATACAATAAAGGTTGTATGCTGTGCACAATATTAAGCAAGCTTGATAAAAAACTTATAAAATTAAAATAAAAAAACAAAAATAATTCTCAGGAGCTGCACCTGTTACAAAAAAAAAAAAGTCTGAAACTGAAAAGTGCGTAGAATTATTCAATCACACAGTGTCCTGAAAGTGCATTGTCCACTATTCTGCACTTTAGATGAATGACTGCTTAGGCGCCACTGGTGGTAGCACTGTATCCGGATACTTTTTTGAGTAGCAATACTTTTGACAACCCTAAATCTGGGTATTGTTTGTTTAGGCAAAATTAAAAACATACATTTTCAATGTAATTTTTATTGTAAAATTACTACAAAGGAAAAATATCAGAAGAAGAAAAAGTTAAATAGACACTTTAAATTGCATAAAATGGTTGATAAAAAACCTGGATGGTAAATTTAATCATGTTTTTTCACTTTTTACTGCTGAAAAATGAGGGAGAACATCAAGATTATTTTACTGCTGGATTTTCTTTTTATATTTAAAATATCTATTGAGACATATCTTTTCTTATTGTTTTGGGCCCCAACTCAATCAAGGGCCTTTAGAATCTTCCTGACTTTTCCCCTTAATAATGCACCCGTGGTCACTTTACATCGCTGCTGTAACTCAGATATAAAAAAATTTAAAAAAGCAACAGCTTAGGCTGACAGTCCTCTTTATCTTATTAGATATTATCACCAAATTGCAATGATATAATCTTCCAAAAATGAATTTTAAACGACGTAAAATGATGCATAGCGTGTAGTTTAGACTCGCGGATGCTTAAATGAAGGAAAGTGACTTTTTTTTCTACTGATATCTGTGTAAAATACAATATCTAACAATTGCAGAAAAAAAGCCAAGGTTATAAAAAAATGTATTTCAAAGATCACCAAAACCTTTCCAGGGACGTCAGTGGGTTCGGTGGGGATGTTAAGTCACTAAGGTTTCCTAATTTATTTAGAAAATACATTTCAAACTGAAGTTGAACTTCCTGAAACCCCTGAGCAAAAACACCCGACGGTATTATATATATAAGCGTGCATCGTTTACAATGATCTGTTTGTTTCAGAATTTACAAACAGATCAATACTAAAGTGAC